AACAATTAAACAGAGAAAGGATACTTCATTTCAAGAGAAACATTTAAAACAAATTCTGCAGAAATATCTACTTAAAACATGACTGCATTCTCTTTGGAAAACCCATAACTCTAATAACATCCATCTATCTTCCATCTTATCTTGTACATGGTTGGGGTGAGATTGCATCACATTAACTGTAATAATACAATTAGCCTAGGAAAGATTAAGGTTGAAGGGCAGATGAGACAAACCTAACAGTGACCACAAGAGGGCACTGCACCATAAACAATCAATGTTTATTATTAAAAGCAGTGGTACCTTAATAAGCATTTTCGCACATAGCCTTTAGCTGAGAAATATGATAATTAAAAAACTCTCCTTACAGTTTAAACATACTCTCACTGGCCACTTTATAAGGTACACTTGTTCAATTGCTCTTTGAAGCAAATATCTTATCAGCCAATTACATATCAGCAGCACAATGTATAACATCATGCAGATACAGGTCAGGAGCTCCAGTTAATGTTCACATCAAACATCAGAATGGGGAAGAAATGTGATTTAAGTGACTTTGAATGTGGCATGGATGTTGGCTTCAGACAGGCTGGTATGAGTATTTCAGAAACTGCTGATCTACTGGGACTTTCACGTGCAAAAATCTCTAGGGTTTAGAGAGAATGGGTCAAAAAAGAAAAAAACATCCAGTGAGTGGCGGTCCTCTCTGTGAAAATGCTTTGTTGATGGCAGAGGTCAGAGAACAATGGCCAGACTGGATCAAACTGACAGAACTCCAGAGGGTTGTTATAACCAAGGTATTCAGAACAGCATCTCTGAACACATGACAAAAAAAGTATTGTTGCTAACCATGTACATCCCTTTAAAACCTGCTTTTAATGGCTAATTCCAGCAAGATTACACACCATGTCACAAAGTTCATAGCATATCAAACTGGTTTCTTGAACATGACCGTGAGTTCACCGTACTCAATTTGCCTCCACAGTCAGCAGATCTTAATCCAATAGAGCACCTATGGGATGTGGTGGAACGGGAGAGTCACATCATGAAGGTGCAGCCGAAAAATCTGCAGCAACCGTATGATGCTATCTTGTTACCATGCACCAAAGTCTGAGAATGTTTCAAGCATGTCATTGAATCTATGCCATCATGAATTAAGGCTGTTCTGAAGACAAAAGGGGGTCCAACCCAATACTAGTGGGTTTAGTATCCTAGTATCTGCACTAAAAGATGAGATTCACACCATAATGGTGGTGGTACAGTGACACACACTGACTGCCGTGATCACAACAAACTGCTTATAATAACAATGGCTTAGTTTCTATTACAGACAGTAGAGTCATTACATGTGACAGCGCCCCTTAGTGGCCTGTTGCATGAATACAGGCTGCTGGTTACCAGCAGCAAGCCACAAGCTGCTTGTCCAATCGGGAATCACCATTAGTAGACCCAGCAAAGGCCTTAGTGGGGTGGTGGGGGATTGCAGAGTCCTACAGCAGATTGTCAGACAGACCTGAGCTGTTGCAGTGTTGGTTGTTGAAAGGGGGTGGATTTGAAGGATGTGTTCAGGGGGGCAGGTATTGGGAACAGGAAGGCCCATCCCCAGACCTGCTCTGATTCCACAGCTTCTCCTCCGTTAGATTTGGCTCTTTCATTAGAAAGCCTTCCCTGTCAATCAAACACAAAAATGGGCATGTCTTTTATTACGGTGTATGTTCATTTCTTTGTAAAAAATGATTCTTACTTCCTTTTTGTTGCATTTCCCGGTAGTCCATACACACCAGGTAAACTTCTGGGTCCATGTTTTGTGTTAACATGCATTTGAACACTTCACCATCAGAGAGACAGGAAGGAGGGGGATGACATAATGGAGGAAGAGGGACCTGAATGCAGGGCTCTGGGAGCTCAGTCTCAGCCACCAGTCTCTCTCTCACAAAGATATTGAGCTCTGAAAGGGAAGGACAGAGCCACACACGTGGTTCAGGACCCCTTCCGTTCATGCAACATCAGGGAACTGGAAGGTTAACAGGAAGGTAGAGATAGTCCCAGAAGGTCCTGGAAGGTCAGATGTTTAATGCCACCATGGTTCCTGTGCTTTCAGGGTTCTGTATCATTATGGCCAAGAGGTTAAGAACACTGGAGAAAACCAAGACAGTGAGATTCCCAGATGTATGAAAGGGTGATGCAGCTTTGAGGGGGGAAAAAAATCAATTAAACAACAAAATAAAAGACTCCTTGTGTGTGAAAGCTGAGGGATACACAGGCAAGCCAGGGCTAACCTCTCTGGGGCACCCATCTGGCCCGACATGAAGCTCATCCTGTTCCTCTGCAGCTTCCTCTTCAGCTGGAGTCCAAGCTGGAGGTCCTCAATGTCGCTCCCTGTACCTGCCATACTGACCCTCACACACAGGGGGCGACAACGAGGACTAAATGAATGAGAAGCAGAACAAAGGTTCCTCCACGAACACATGCAGGCAGGATCTCTCACCTGTGCTGTGGTCATGGACGGCCATGCTCTGCTGATTGTAGGAGCTGCCTGGATCGCTCCAGGTCAACCCAGCTTCTCGAAAATGGCAGGGGGAGGACACAGAATGAGGTCATAGCATCTCACAGCCTCCTCAGAACTTAAAACCCATCAGCGCTGATCCTCATCGCAAGACTAATGATGCTTGATCTCATTAACATTTCAACATATAAACCTGCCTTTCATGTGAAAAGCTCTTTTGATCCCCAACATTTTTCAGGTGTTCGGTTGAATTAAACCATTTGCTCATACTCTCCCTGTACTCTGTCAATACTACCCCATGCTCTTTACATATTCACTGTTCTCTATCTGTCCTACCCCATGCTATGTACATACTTTCGGTGCTCTTTCTGTACTACCTCATGCTATGTACATACTTTCTGTATTCTGTCCGTACTACACCATGCTCTATACATAGTCTTTCTGTACTCTGTCCATACTACCCGATGCTCTGCACATACTCTCTCCATGCTCTGTCTGTAGTACCTTGCGCTCTGTACATACTCTCTCTGTATTCTATCCATACTAGCCCATGCTCTTTACATTTTCTCTCTATACTGTTTGTACTAACCTGTGCTATGTACATACCCTATCTACTCTGTCTGTACTACCCCATGCTCTGCACATACTCTCTCTGTGCTCTTTTCTGTACTGCCCCATGCTCTGCACATACTCTCTCTGTGCTCTGTCCGTAATATTGTGCTCTGTACATACTTACTACGTACTCTGTCTATACTACCCCGTGCTCTGCATAGACTCTCTCTGTACTTTTTCCTCTGCCTGTGCGCAAACCTGCTTACAGACATTTCTGTAGCTTCAGGGGCAGCTCTTTCTAGCTGTTTTTAGTTCATCCCTGTCTCCCACTGTTTTTCCCTCTCTTGTTTTTCACTGCTGGGAGGGAGGATGAGCTATTATGGGGTGGGGAGATGAAAGGTCACCACAGCAACAATGCCGGGACACATTTTAATCAAGTCCATAAAACCAAAGAGGCAGAGAGAGCCCCTCTTCTCTCTGCTTATTCACTGAACCCGGGGCAGGTGCACACAGCCACACTGTCAGGGTGCACACTTATTCCCATATAATAACTATGCATTATGTGTTTAGTTTCTTTGATAAAGACTCTCACTGACTTCAAATTAAATGAACAGGACACTCGTTTCACATCCCCTCTGTCTCTTTGTCTCTTCATCCTTCATTCCTTCACTCGCGTCTGTGCTGCCCGGCCCAGGGCACAGCTGCAATGCACTGTCACCTTCAGCTGTGCTTTGAAACTACACATAGTGTTTGAGGTAAAATACATAAACGTGGAGCAGTAGTTTGTGAGGAGGGGCGGAAGGGATGTGGCTGGAGGAAGGTTCTGCAGAGGAGCTACAGAGATCTTACTGCACAGTGAAATACATAAAAATGAGAATGATCGCAGAATCATGACAACAGGACTTGGCAGAGGCAAAGCCAGCCACTCAGGGACAGTGGGCCGCTCACACTGCACATGCTCTGCGAAGGTGCTTGAATCTTACTATCACCACACAAGCAGGGTGACTCATTTTAGAGACAATATCACTATATGTCAACTGACACAAATAAAACAAGAAATGCCTTTAATTTTATTTTTTTTGCTGTGAAGAGTATTTCTTCAATCTTCAGGCAGAACAAGACACCATGGGGGAGGGAGTAGATCATTCCCACCAGTTTCCAATAAAGTGTGGCGTACTTTACACAAAGTCCTGACCCACACAGTACATGTGAAACAAACATGCCTAACTGGAAGAGTTAGAAGAAGAAGGGAAAACACAGCAAATGCCCTCATACATTTACCAGTTAAGGCAGGGTTTGACATAACTAAGCTTGACCACTGGATCAGCTTCTCTGTTGTAAAAATAAGCCTATAGCTATACATCTGTGATTAAGACAGACTGGATAGGAATGACATGATATAACTGTAGTACTTTCATTTGCAGAGAGGAACCCGATTCAACACCTCATTCAAGGTATCAAAACAAAGAATAACAAATATCAGTGTCCGAAGGTAATTTCGGCTGAATAACTATATTTACAAGTGGGGAAATGCCCAAGTCAATAACGAAACAAGTAATGCATGGCGCCCCATGCGGACTCCTTTTAGAATGACACACATTGCTTCGTTGTCTGTTTACTTCAGTAAGCTATCTGTACTTCAGTCTTTATCCTTCATTTTGCGTTCTCGCCTCGTATTGTGTACTTCCGCTGTTTGCTTTTATGGCAGTGATTCGCCTCCGTTGGATTGACACAATATCAGCATCGCACCCGTTAGCCGCAGCACAACTCAACGCGCGCCGCCCCGGTTGAGTGCTCGTGCGCGTGTCAACGTGGCGCTTCGAGACCAATTGATATTTGCTCCAACCCCAGTCCCTCCCCCTTCTCTGATTCCATTGGATACTACCTCTCATAGCAATATTGCTATTGGATAAGGAGAAAGACGACGCCCTGGTTGAATTTAAAGAGACAGTAAGACTGCCAACGCGTGCAGGTCAAAAAAATCTGGGAGAAGTTGGGTTGGACGAGTATTTGGTAAGTAATTTTCTTTTTAAAAATGTACTGTTCTCTTCGACATTGTACTGAGTAAGCGGGTGGACAGATGGATGTTATATAGATAAAATCTAATATTTGTTTTGATTGATCATAATCCGCATCATTCATTTTGTTATATGCAAAGTATGTATGGAATACACACTTTTCAACAAACTGAAAACTTTAAGGAATGTAGATGCTATTTGGAGGAAAAAGTAAATTACGCGAAAAATATACAAGGAAAGCCTTGTTTTGAAAAATGAAATACAAGTTGTGATTTTAATATACAGTAAATGTAAAAAAAAAAAATCTAATGCTGCTTATTACTTTTCATATTGCCAGTGCATCGTTCAAATCTGCCTTAGAAAGTTACTTCAGACTGTTTGTATATAACTCACAAATTTTGTTTTAACTTTTTGCTGCAGCTAAGGAAATATGATGCTGATGCAGTTGCTAGGAACAACATCACTGTTTTTGGCGGTGGCGATAGCTGTCCCTGCCCAGGAAAAGCGTGTGCATCGCCACGGTGACCTGAGCGACCACGTGCACGACGACACGCACGGCTTTCAGTACGACCATGAGGCGTTTTTGGGCAAGGAGGAGGCCAAGACCTTCGACCAGCTGACCCCAGAGGAGAGTAAAGAAAGACTGGGGTATCTCACCTCTTACCAGTGACATTATTGCTTTGTGCTTCCTATTCCATATATTCCAAACTCAGCAGAATGCCCCACTGTTCATTTCTAACCATTTGATCAAAATACATTCTATATTGCAGCAGTATACTGAGGTAATTGTAGGTGGAATATGTCATTTGTACAGTTTCTGATATAGTCAAATTATGCTTGAAGACCTAGGAAGAGATTCGGGTTTAATAATGCATTTTGCTGTAATCTGTTTGAGGTAGCACATTTTTGTATTTGGTTCCCAGACATCTGTGATGCTTTTTCCTCTTCCACTTACTGTATGTGTCTTTGCTCCCTTTATTCCCCATGCGGTCTGGCAGGAAGATTGTGGATCGCATTGACACAGACTCCGATGGCTACATCAGCCACAAGGAACTCCACCAGTGGATCAAGCACCGGCAGAGGAGGTACATTGAGGAGAATGTGGACAAGCACTGGAAGGAGTACGACCTCAACAAGGATGGACTAGTGGCCTGGGAAGAGTATAAGAATACCACCTATGGCTACTACCTGGGTAAGAGAGAAGAGCCAGCAGGGCGGCAGCACTGAGCCCTGACCCATCATCTCTTTGCATCAGATGCTCTTCTCGGGAACCACCTGGTATCCCATACAGACCTTACATTCTAAGGCATGTCAACTTATGAAGCATATTAAAACATAAAAATGGTGGAATAGAGTAAATATAGAAGAGCTGAGTGTCCTTGTAGACGGGTCTGGCAGGGACGGGTGACCTTCTGTCATTAGTAACGGGAGTCGAGACTTTTGTTGATTGTTGCAGATGAGGAGTTTGATGATGTTGATGACAAGGCAAGTTACAAGTCCATGCTGGCCAGGGATGAGCGCAGGTTCAAAGCTGCTGACATCAACGGGGACGGCATCGCCACCAAGGAGGAGTTCACAGGCTTTCTGCACCCTGAGGAGTACGAGCACATGAAGAGCATCGTGGTGACGGTCAGTCGGGCTGGAGACGGGGGTGGGCTGCTGTAATTGTGCTATCGCAATATGCATGCAGAACGATTATCATTAGGCTGCTTAACTGCATCACCCCTTGTGACGACAGATCAGAAATGCACCATCACACTGTGATCCGATAATCTATGCTGTCCCTTCTCTGTTCTCCAGGAAACGGTGGAGGATATCGACAAAAATGGAGACGGACTAATAAACTTGGAGGAATACATAGGTGAGGCATCATCATCCCACCGCTCTCCACCGACAGGGGAACAACGGGTGAAGCATGAGCACTGAACCCCACCGTCCCCTTCAGGTGACATGTTCAACCCGGAGAACAGCGAGAGCGAGCCGAACTGGGTGAAGACCGAGAAGAACCACTTTGAGGAGTTCAGGGACACCAACAAGGTGTTTGTTTGCCGATTGCTGGAGATGACGGCTTCACATGAATGCTTGTTTGTCTCATGAATGCTTGTTTGTCTAGAATCAGTCCCAGACACTCATTCCAGTCTCCTTCCTGAGCCTTGTTCATCTTTTCTTCCCTCTCAGGATGGGTTTCTTGATGCTGCTGAGGTGTCCAAATGGATCCTGCCAGGAGAGGTGGACCACGCAGATAACGAGGCTCAGCATCTCATCCACGAGACGGACACAGACAAGGTGGCCTCACTCGCCCATTCCTCTGTAATTTAATGCAGACAAAAGCTCCCCTCCGCCAATACTTCATTTCTGTCTCATCAGTTACTGCTGCTGCTCAGGAATCCGCAGCCAGTCTCATAATTAATTATGACAGTGTAATTATAAAGGAGAACTGCGCAAAGTGGGCTCCTGCTCCCTGGCTTAACCAGATCAGGGGTGTAACTCTCTCTGTCTGATCATGTTTCCTCAGTCTGTCTCTGTCTCTGTTAATATTCTTGGTAATTGGCTAATTCATGTCCGCCACAGCCTGTGATTCTAATGAGCTGCCAATCATCTCTTCTGCCTTCTGTCTCTTGACTCCAATTGGCCGGCGGCTTGTGGGGCTTCTTTCGTTGCCGTCGCCGTGGCTTCACCGAATGAACAGGACGACCGGATTACCAAGCAGGAGATTCTAGCCAATTGGAACATGTTTGTGGGCAGCCAGGCAACTAATTACGGAGAAGACCTCACTAAGAAGCACGATGAGCTTTGATGATGTCACACCTGGTGGGCGGGGGTGGGGACACCATGGGTTTTGGTATATGGGAAGCTTCATTGTGTATTGGGGGGTGTGGGTGTCAATCACTGATGTATAAGCAGAGTTAGTCTATGGGGAGGGTGTTATTACATCACAGATAAAAGGGGTCAGCCAAAAAGGTACAATACAGACACAAACACAGCCGAAAGGATGATTCCTTTACAAAACCACAATGACTCATTTTTGCTCTTATTTGTGTATTTTGAACCCCCCAAAATGCATGCCAGTTTGCTGCCATTCTGTACTCTGCCACAATGGCACCGCTGTCCTGTTTAACACAGTTCTATAGCACTATACCATTAGCATCATGAGCAGTTGTCAGTTTGCTGAGGTTCATGGAGCCGGAAACTGGCTGGGATAGAGCATTTCTGGCGATTTGCAGAACATGTCCAGCAGAGCAGTATAATGAATGCAGTTTGCAGGCACCACTCTGGCATTTGGGGTCAGGGTAGGTTCAGACTGCACTGATACCAACCACAGTGAGCAGAGAGCAGCACGGCGCACAGTCACGGCGTTGCTGGGACAGCAAACACAGGCCTGGCACAATGTGAAGACAGTCACTGCTTCCCACTTTCAAATATCAATAAAGCTGTTCCATTTTTCATATGGCTTCTTGTAACTTCCTTGTACGATCGTGTTGTGTTCTGTAGAACACAAACCTAGTAAGTAGGGATGTAAAGTGCAAACTGGAAGGTAGAACTGGTGTTTACAAGGCCCTGCACCAGGAGCGTCCCATTTGCTGATTGTAAGAAAGCTGCAGGCCGCAGTCTGAGCTGAAAGGGTTAGTCTGTGTCGGTGGCTGGTTAGCTCTGTTTTCCGCCTCTGTTCAGGATGGCCGCCTGTCTTTGGATGAGATTTTGGAGAAAGCAGAGTTCCTCTCTGTCAGCACCCTGACTGACTATGGGGTTCTTCTGTCAGGTGTCCACGATGAGCTCTGACTGGCCTCACACTTCATTGGGGATGGAGAAAGTGGACATATTGTCTGATTTTGTCTGGCTAATAAACCATTACTGATTTTCCCTTGGGTATTTGTTTCCATTTTTGTGCATTACACATGGTGATGACACACGTGGTTATGTTTGTCTCATTATAGGGCAAGACAGTCACATCTACAGCTTTATTAACCCAGATATTTGACTCATGCTGCATGTGTAACTGGAATACACCATGAATGATTGAACATAGCAGAACCTCTCTCAGTTCATTCTGCCATTTTCCTTTGTTTAAGGATGGAGTCAGAACATTCGTACTCAGATACTGGGACATTTGAGCTCTGTGGGACGGAGGTCACATGACGTGAGCCACTCAGACTCACTGTGGGCCATTTGAGTTGTGGTGACCTCATGCGAGTGCGTGGGTCGTCTTGCCAGAGCGGGTTGTGCTGACCTGAAGCTGGCAGTAACGCCATGTAACACAGAGCGAGCCAAAGAACACAGCAGAGAGCCTCAGGACCCAGGTGAAGGCCACCAATCATAAGGGCAGGTGATTTGTGGCACAAAGGCCTTCGTAGGGAATACATGATGTGGCTGTTTCTATGTGCATTGAAGCAACCATTCAGAAGGTCATTATAAAATTTCATTGATTTGACGCTTTATTATTCCAACAATGATTTTTCAGATACCGTTGTTAAGTGGTATCTGAAAATGAAAGAAAAAGACGCCGGGAAACGTCAGTATTCTAAGTGATACGGGAACCAGTAAACATTGTTATCAAACTCGGGCTCAGACTGACTCGTCTCCGCTGACTTTTTGTAGTACTGGAGTGCCATCTGGTGGTATAAATCTGTAATTGTCAGGACAAATTATTTAAATTTCCAAGTTAGGAGTTTTATTGTCATGTTATTTATGATCCGTCACGATGAAAATATCGGAAATAAAATGTCCAGTAATCCCACTGAGAGATTTTGTGGTCGTCGATTTCGGTGGTGGTAGAAGAGATCTGAAAGGTCTGTATAAAATAAGATCATGCGATACTCTAGGCACAGTTGTTCATATGTGAGTAGTCATGTGCCTTAATGCTCCAACTTGACCTTTGCACGGGACCTTTAATACCGGCGCTTCTCATCTGATGATCCCACAGCGAGGGACTGGAGCGCTTTGGTCAACCGATCATCACCCGCCTTGTAATGGTCTCACTAATAGGTCCGCAGTTCTCCTGCATTTATCATGGGTGATTGTATGCTTCCCTCCTATTGGTTGTAAATACATTTCATTGTGTGTTTAAGAAGCGTCTATATTTTGTTGATTGACAATGGCTTGAAAATGTCTTAATTATTATATTATTTGCTAGCAGGTATACAATTTGTTTAACGTCGAAACTGAAAACAGGACAGAGAAATTAAAGAAAATAAACTGCTTAATTTTAAGACTTAATCGTTTTATTTCCTTCTCAATCTCCTTTTCAAACCTGAAGAGTTTTTTAAGACTTAGTTTATGTGTTTTCAGCGTGTCTTTAAAACTTAACACTTCACAATAAAGTTATTTATTTTAAATAAACCTTGTAAAGATTGTATCTTTATATTTTTTCAAAACCACAAAACAAAAAATAAATTATTATACACTAAAAGTAATAAAATCGGTTGGCTGCAGTTTCCTCTTCGGCCACATGGTGGCAGCAGGGGCTTTATTGTCCGCCCTCCAGAGCACGGGCTATTGTTCTGAAGAGATAAAGAGACACGGAAAGATTAACAAGGACCCTAGAACATTAGATGAGCTTCCGTCTTAAATGCTCTAAAAGAACTTACTGGTAGACTGTTCCTGTCAGTTCATCCACGTAGCCACCTGAAATCGCCAGAGAAGCATACATTTACACTTATTTTATAGACAGTTAGGCATCGACATACACATTATACTTACATATGAACAAACGTGTTTCACTCACCTGGTTTGCAAACAGTCTCACAAAGGGCAGGACAGATATTGCAGAATTTACACATCTAGGGTGAAAAATGCACAAAATTAAAAGCCGAAAACACAAACATCACTGTCAGTCATAACCACTCAACCAGCTGGGTATAAAGCTGCAATGTTCAGCCAATCAAGTGAGGGGTCAGGTTGCCGCGGCTCGTGTTTGGGCGAGACTCACATCGCAGTGCTCGCAGTGTGCTGACTTGTCTCCCTCCTTACATGGACACTTATCGCAAGAATCACAGTGCTGGAAAAGAGCAGGAGAGAGGGGTAACGTGGAAAAAAAGCGTGAAAAAGATAGAGGAAGAAGGAGGGAGAGGGAAATGGATAGAAGGGTCAGGCAGAATGGGAGAGAGGAAAATGAGGGAGGGAGAAATAGGGAAGAGGAGAGACGAGGAAAGGAGAGAGAGAGAGAGAGAGAGAGAGCACCAAGGGAGAAGCAGACAAGGATGGAGAGGTTAATGCACTATGATTACCCCAAATTACCCCAAATAGATACAAGCCATGTGTTTGACTAATTACAACTCTTACCTCACAGAATGAGCAGAAACTACACAGGGATCCTTTTTCATATGGTTCATCTTCATCATCGTCATCATCGTCATCATCATCATCATCATCATCATCTGGGGAAAAATGTAAATGAAATGTTATATATATATATATATATATATATATATATATATGTGTGTGTGTGTGTGTGTGTGTAAGACGTGTGTACGTGCGTGTGTGTGTGTGTGTGTGTGTGCAGGGTGTACCCCAGTCTCGTACCCTATGCTACAGAAGGCCTACAGGCTCCCACATGACTCTGCCCAGGATAAGAAGCTGAAAATGGGTGATCCTGTTTTTTCATGTCCCATTTTAATGCAAATAATGGTAATATTGAGTGATGCCATACAAAACGTTTGACAGATTTTCTGCAGTAGATATAACTTTTCTTTATAAAGACATCCACACTCACAAACACAGTGACACCCAGAGTCGCACTAATACTCATGCACAAGTACAGTGAACACAGATTTTGTCTGCTTGTCTAATGAAGACACCCACAATGTCATTTTCATTTCATCTTGCTGCTTCTGAAATATCTGACAAACCTCCAGTTGTGTAGTGTCTAATTTTGTGTTTTCTTGTACGCTAAGGATCATAGACAGGAGTTCATAGTTGCATTAAGAGCTCTTGGTGATCATGGACTGCAGGAAGTAACTGTATTAAGAGTCACTGTCACTGGTGATCATGGAGGAAGCAAGTGCATGTAGAGTCACTGGTGATCTTAGACAGGAGGAATTAACTGCATGCAAAGTCATTGGTAAATATGGATGACATGACAGGAAGTAACTGCATGCAGACTCACTGGTGATCTAAGAGAGGAAGAAGTAAGTGCATGCAGAGTTACTGGTAATCATGGATGAGAGGAAGTAACTGCATTAAGATTCACTGTTACTGGTTATTTTGTATGAGAAGATGTGAGGCTGCATGGTGGTGCAGTGGTTAGCACTTTCGCCTTACACCTCTGGGATCAGCGTTTGAATCTTTGCCAGGATTCCATGTGTGTAGAGTTTACATGCTCTCCCCATGTCACTATAGGGTTTCCTCTGGGTACTCCGGTTTCCCCTTATGCTCCAAAAACATGGTAAGGTTAATTGGAGTTGCCAAATGGCCCATAGGTGTGCATGCAT